CTCATTAGAATATTATTAGACTGTTAGGTTTGGGTTAGTATAGAATAAGTTGGCATGTATTTGCAAAGATACGTATAGTAGAATGTCTGAGGAGCATCAACATAAAGAGTTAGCAGATAATAAGCAGTCTACTAATAGTTAGTTGACATGCAAAGTTGCTTACAGTTATAGTAGAATGTCTAAGTTATGCTTTGTTTTAATTAAAAATTGGCTGATCTTATAAGCTATAGTAGGCTATGTATTAAACCCATTTTTTGTCCCTTCACAAGACACCCACTGTAAAACCCAACAAGTTAAGCTAACTTATTTAATTTGAGGAAAACGATTACCTCAATTCATTTAAGTTTATGAAAAACAATATTTATGAGTACTCTGAACTTATTTTATTCGAGTTCACTAAATTAAAAAAAAAAAACACAATTAAACTTTACACTGCATTTAATACTGTATATAGCTGAAACTTCACTTTATTGAGTAAAAAGAGTGAAATGACAAACTTTAAATTAACTCAGAGCACTTGCAGTTACTGCTAGCTCACAATATCACACACAAAGTCAAATCCAATGAGTTAAGCTAACTCATTTAATTTGAGGAAACCGATTACCTCAATTCATTTAAGTTTATAAAAAACAATAGTTATGAGTACTCTGAAATTATTTCAGTTGAGTTCAGTGAAAGTAGATATTGCAGTCAAGAAATTAAGTGATTAATTAAGTGATTGTTGAGCATTAGTGACGAACACCTGCTGTTAACATCACTGAAGGACAGAGAAACACAAGAACTACAACTGACTTCCAACCACAACATTAGATGAAATCAACTGAGATAAAATATGTTTAAATCTCTCAAGATCTCAGCAGAGGAGGATTGAACAACTCCACAAACAGCATTACCAGCTTCACTTATTACTAACCAGTGTGACTTTTATAATGTTTCTACAGAAGTTGTTATTGTGAATGAACAGAGGTTTAGATGAAGATTATTTATTGAGTTTCATTTAAAGACACCATGATAGTGGTCAGTGTTTGCTTTAGTTGGGCTCTTGACCCTTGACTTTATAACACCATTTTTTTCACTGGCTGCTGTAACCGAGTGTTTATATAACACATTTGTTATGGCACAAAAGCCAAAAGAAAATTTTGTTTTGATGATGATTTATGGAATGATGAATCATCATTTGGTGTCTTGATTCTCTGATCTTTTCTAGAGAATAATCTCTGATTAAACATGTGATATATAACTTGTATTATTCATTATAAAAGAACTGTGATTCTGCTGTAAGGCCCATTGTTGTTACAATCAGATTTGAAAAACCTTTATGGTATCATGCTGACTTACACAGACATCAAGAATCAGCGTATGAATCTCAACAATGGTGATCATTAAAAAACTATTCATGCTGCAATGCATGCTGGGCGCCATGGATAAGGTTTGTTTTATGGTAGTACCCAGCATGCATTGCAGTATGAATCGTTTTTAATGGTCACCATTGTTGAGATTCATATGCTGATTTTTGATATCTGTGGTAGTTTTAGTAATGAATTATATTTTCTGTAAAATCCTTCATACTATCTGATTCACACTATAACATTGCTAGTTCTTATGATGTAGAATCTTAGTTTCAAATAAAACTAATAATATTTGCCCTTTTTTGTCAGAGACTAGACTCTAAATGAGATCAGTGAATCAAGTCAGTAAGTGACCATCATCACCCGGACATACTTTTCCTTGGAATTTTGTGCCATATCAAATGTTTCTTAAACATTCAATTACAGCAGCCAAATAAAAACTTGTACTCAAACGTCAAGGGTCAAGAGCCCAACTAAAGCAAACGCTGATCTCCATCATGGTGACCTTAAACCTTGTATTTCTTGTGTTTCTCTTTCCTTCAGTGATTCTGCTTGTTAACAGCAGGTGTTCATCACTAATGATCGATCATCACTTAATTGATGATTAATTAACTTAACTATGCATTTATTATTCAATTATCATTCTGGGATCTAATGTTCTATAACTCATTCAGTTTGAGTTCTGTTTCAGTCATTCAAGCCACTTCAAGTTTCTGTATTATTTGAGTGCAGTGAACTCAATTTAATTGAGTAAATAGTACTGTTAGGTTTTACAGTGTACATTGTAAAAAAAATATATGATCAATACAATAAGTCAAAACAACATATAAAAACGTTTAAAATGGTCTTTTTAATATAATTTAAGAGGAAATGATATATACAGCCAGTTTGTTTATATATATATATATATATATATATATATATATATATATATATATATATATTTTTTTTTTTTTAGTGTATATGTTTTGCAACCAAAACATTTAATATGTTAAAGTAGTGGTGTAACTCAGATCCCTTAATCTGAAGGTTGCTGATTTGATTCCCACAAACGGAGGACCATAACCTGTAATAAATGTACTGGAGGATTCTATGGATAGTTGTCTTCTAAATGGCTACTTTAAGTACATCATTATGTACTTTTTTCCTTCATTATGTGAACTTGATGATAATAAATGAACACTTAATTGATATTTTAATGAATGAAGTATATGAGCGAAGTTAATTACCAGCATGAAACCACTCAACATGACATTTCTAAGTAATTCTAATGTTTTGTTTTTGTTTGAGTCAATAGGTTTCTTAAGAAGAATGGAAATCTATTATCCTCCTCCGCAAAGCACCCGCACACACACTCTTTCATGTACACATCCCTAAGCAGCTGCGTCATTAGACAATTCTTTTGAACTTCACACTGAAAGTCAAACGCCACATCTGTCCATGTTAGACACATGCATCCCAGCTGCTCTACAGCCCTTATTTCATTTCTCCACCCCCGCTATCAGCAAAATCCTTGACCCCACCTCTGACACCATCCTCGTCTTCAAGAACTTATCTCCGTGCTTCTGCTTCCAAGGGAAGATCAAACTTTGGTACCTTAATGCTCTACTGCATTTCAACAATGATCTCACATCCTCTTTGGATCTGTCCTTGTTCGATATGCATCATGACATCTGATCAGTTGTGCACCTGGGAACAGGGAGTTGCCTCTGTTATAGAAGTTCTCGCTTCCATTGCCATTCCGTACAATTCTGAACATGTGGCCTTTTCTTCACTGCAGTGGACCTTTGAATGGCGATGGTTTAGGCCAATTCGGTGGTTGGGCGACTGGTTTAGGCCCATTCCCATTCTAAATACACTCTAAAAAATGCTGGGTTGTTTCAACCCAAATTTGGGTCAAATATGGACAAATCCAAATTTTGGGTTAAAAATGTAATTAAAAAATGTACAGTTGAAAGTGAAAGTTGAAGTTGGGTCAAAATTTTAAATTACATTTTTTAACCCAACATTTGGGTTTGTCCATATTTGACCCAAATTTGGGTTAAAACAACCCAGCATTTTTATACCTTTCTTTTGAGGCACCTTCTGTCTATCTGTGATATTAACAGTAATCTATGCCTCTCTCCAGATTGGCTGCCTCGTTTGATTGGCCGTGATTACAGCTCAAACGATTTGAAACATTTAAAATGTGACGAGGCCTCAGCTGAGGTCTGGAAGTACTTCAGGGGACGCACAGACCTGCGTTTCAGGTGGGCGTAAAAGAGAAAATGGGCGGCAGCTGTGAACAAGGGTGTGTTTACTTCTCTATTCAAAAACTCAGTTGTCCCAGGACTACTATTGACATACCCAGTTTCAGAATTATGACTGAATGTGAACCATTAAACCTTCAGGCCTGCTTAAAACACCCTTAACATTGAAAATTCAAAAAAAGGATTTAAATATAAAAAGTTGCTTATTAAAATAAGAGTAATAAGTAAATAAGAGGTTAGTTTCATCAAATTAAAGTTTAGGACAAAGCCATGTGAAAAATAAGTGTACTAATTAAATGTGTACTTGTGGTGTACTTGAAATAATATATAACAAAACAATATTAAAGACATAAAAAGCCACTTAAGTGTTCTTCACTTTGTAATAATGTCAAAATAAAAGTTTTACTTTAAAATACATTTGAAATCATTTTAATAATCTGCTGTTGTGCTTTAAAAAGTACACGTATTTTGGTAGTACTTTATTTTACAGTCCCGTTCCCCATGTACATACTATTATAGTAATTTACAATAACTGAGTAATACTAACAATGAACCTATCCTAAACCTAACCTCAACCCATGTAGTTACCTTATTACCAGTGCTTTCTTAGGTAAGTACACATTCTGTAAAATAAAGTGCAACTCTTATTCTGTTGACTAACATACTAAAGCACATGTGAAGTACCTGATTAGAAACATGACTGTAGTGTGTTATATGATAAAGTTAATATAATTTAAATGTACTTCATTTTAAAAGTATGCTAAAGTGTATGTCTTTTTCACAAGGTAATATATGATTTAAACTACAATAAGCAAAATATGTACATTATCAGATAAAAAAAAACAAAAAAAACAAATGGACACAGTTATTTTTTTTAAAATGTGTATTGTCACTGGCTGTCATTTTTACATTGTGTTGAACAGACTTCGAAAGAAAAAAAACAGACATGATGAGAGCAAAACAGTCTACTTACAATTATTTACTCTAAGATATAATCTAATTGATGTTGACATTGCTTTCAGAGTTTGCTAAACAATGTTTTAAGATTGAATTGGAGAAAAGCCCAAAAAAGCACATATGTAAATATTTACAACTTGACCATTTTTAATTTTTAAGCCAAAGTAATGGCTTGCAAGTACATGTAACACACACACACAGGCACACATGCGCGCGCACACACACACACACACACACACACACAAAACAAACACATCTTTCCTAAAGTAGAAAGTTATCGAAAAAGAAATAAGGGGTAAATATATTTATATATCTCTATTTTTATTGTTTTCTTGCAAGACGTTGAAAGTATCACTTTTGGAATGGACAAGAAATGATCATTTCCAAAGCCCAGTAAATGATGACATAGATTGTAATTTTGAGTCAATGTAAATACATCTATTTATTTCTTTTTTTAAAAACAATTACCCTTTTCTCGTATTCGTTGCTGCAACATAACTACTACACAACTGATTACATTGGCTGAGAAAAAAAATGCTTTCGAACACACTCCATTTATAGTAAGACCTACATGAACCTCCTGATTTAGAAAATCCTCTTCTAGCCAGAGAAGAAAATGCGAAAAAACAAAACAAAACTGGAAAAAAAATACAGTGGTACTGAATGATTACATTGTAATTTTCCATGGTATTTACATGTCACTCCTAAGTACTTCAAAGAATACCATGGAACATGTAAAAAAAAAAAAAAATTGTATTACTATTGTCTATTAGTGTATGCCAAGAACTGATATATGGAAAAATGTTACACTCAAGTATTTCTTATGAAAGGATATTATAAATATGGATCCTAAACTAGGCCAGTTGCGTGCATTTATCAGTCTATAGCAATTGGAAACCCCTGTACTATCTAATGTTGCATGTACTGTAATGTTCAAGATTTGATAAAACATTGTGAAAAAGCAACACCAGTTGCTCAGTATGTGAGACACACCATACTTACAGAATAATCCATTTGAAGAAAGCAAAGCTAAGCTAAGTGTTTCGTGACATTTACTAAACTAATTTTGCGTGATAGTGTTTTTGACCTCTTGACTTCTGAGCAAACCATGTAGAACTTACTGCTAATTCTCAGGCGATGTTTGGGTGTACATTACTAGTGTCCTGAGGTGCAAGACTGAGAGACCGTAGCTAATGTTTGTTGACAGAAAAGATTTCACTCCATTTCTTTTTCACTAATGCTCCATTAGTTCCGTTGCCAAGGTGAACAAAGAAGCAAACATATTGGTTGAATGGACATTTTCAAAAACAACAGAAAACAGAAGACATTTAAAAGACAAGCTTATTTCCAAAATAGAATGCTTGCTTTTTTTCTATTTTTGAATTGACATTTAAAAATGACTAATTCAAAAACAACTACATAATACTGTCTGGATTAGCAGTGAGTGTGGATGTGCTGAAAATGTGGACGGTAGCAGATAATTGTTCAACACTTACAGTCTGTGTTCTCTGACATAAGTTGTCAATCTTTAAGTCATATTAATAAAACGTTTACAACACAAACAAATGACATTATAAAATGCCTAACAATGGGAGGAGAAAGTGCAAATATTTTGGCTCCATGATATCATTTTCATCATTTTTTTTTTCTTGAGGAACCTCTTAATAATTTCTCAGAATCCTTCGTTGAACTCTTCCAGCAGTGAACAGATGCCTTCCCACTGTGCTTCGTCCTACTGCCTCATCTTCTGGAACTTTCTGTCTTCAGACCAGACGACCTACTGGAAAACAGACAGTGTGGTGAGACAGGTGAGCGGCGAGGTGTTTGCGCTCAGCTTGCTGGCCTACAGATGCGCCAAAACACAGCCATAGCGTGACAAGACGGCAGCATTCTTGAGATTATCTGCACTCATGCATGCACACGTTCACATATGCGCACATACATGCACCCTAGATCTTGTCTGCGATCTCACACACACACACACACACATGACAAATAGGAAGAGAGATATGGGGCAAACAACATGGTCGGATGTGTGTGCTTTGTCTGCGAGCAGAACATCTTCAGATGCACCAAATGCATTCAAGATATGTTCGATGTCAGCTCCAAAGATGCACTGGCTTCCTTCAAATGATGTTGTGCTTATGCGAGCATCGTAATGTTGTTGAAAGGATAAGAGGCCATGTTTGTTCTCTTTGCAAAGTCATTTGGGAAACAGACACTTCCCCTGCGGCTGATGTGTAATTCTTGCTCTACTGCTACCTCCTTGTCTTAAATTCTCTCACTTATCCATTTTGCCTTTGAGGCTGGGACGTTTGACATTAGCCCACAAATCATTGGTGATTCATGCAAATTGCTGCTTCTCAGTATAAAAAGTATCCCAACATGCGGCAGAAAGAGTATTTATTCACGCCATGTAAAGTACAGTAAGCCATAACGGACTGATGTGGCGTGTAATTGGATCATGATGGCATTGGGAACAGGGACATTTGGTGTCCACAGTTTGGGCCATAGGACTCCTTTTGGGGCTATCAATCAGAGAGGAACTTGGGAGATGGGTAACAGACAGATTGCTTGCAGATGGCCGCTGTAGAAGGGAGTACAAGACTTCCAGTGAAGAACCCCCTCCCATACACCATGGGGGAAGGGACTGACAGGCGGAGGGGGGTCCCGGGCCCTGGAGAGTCCATCAGATGTGTGTGTATGTGTGAGGTCAACAGCAGGCATTTGGGGGTGGGGAAATGCAGGTGGACACTCAAAAGGAACAGACCTGCTTTATCACCTATGCTGAATTTATTACTTGCACAAACCTAAGCATAAAGTATACTTCAGTTTTTACACGAACACTTACAGTAGTTATTCAAACCGCGGGACATAATTGCGCCATTTTACCGTTTCTACAGATTAAAGTGAGTGGCGCATCAAAACAACAAGCTGTTGTGGCTCTCTGGGCCAAGGATTCTCATCTCTGATGACTATTTCGAGAGTTTTTTCTTTCTTTTACAAAGTATACTATGGGCTGCCTTGATGGAAATGTATAACTGTTCCAAAAAAGTCTTTTCTGGACTTCCGCTGGGAAGGAAATATAGAGACCGGACCTCTTGGAACTTTAATTGAATACCCCTGCTGTGGCGTACTGTATGCATACAGCCAAGTGCATTGCCTTTCCAGAACTTATGACTGATAAAAATGTACTCAGTTAAACTACAGTTCTGTCATGACAACTCTTGGAGTGATTGGTAAGGTAATGTATATGACAATGTTTATATTTTTGGTTTTGGTGGAATAGATCAGGGACTTGCTACTGCCAATTAGAGGTTGCACAGACTAGTTGACTTTAATGCTTTGCTATGATGCAGAAAGCTTGACGTCGACTAGTCGCTGGTCATGGCCTATAGAGGGCGCAACAGGATAATACAATTTTGAAGTCCACTTTTACGCTCCGTTTCCAAAAGTTAAGGCCTTGTCCACACGGACACGGTTATCTTAAACCGCAGTTTTTCCTACAGCGTTTAAAAAAAAAATCCCGTCCACACATGCTCGGTCTCCGTCTACATGAAAACGCAAAAACACGCTATCAAGCGCGGTCAAGATCATGCCACGCCAGCAGGCGGCGATATAAACCTTAACCGAAAAGCCACGTTGGCCAATCAGAAGCACAAATCTGACATCAAACACAGCGGATAACGGCACATGATGTCGCAAGCCAAAACCCCCGGTTTCACTGTCTACACGACAACACTGTAACCTGCGTTTCTGAAAATCCTCACCCTGGCAGGGGTTTTCAAAAATGTTCGGTTTCAGTGCGTTTTCGTGTGGACGAACGGCCGAACCGCGTAAAAAAAGTCACGGTTATAAAAATACCCGTGTCCGTGTGGACAGGGCCTAAGATGACAAATAAATGATTACTCCAAGAGCACTCCACAAGATGTGTTTGATTATACCATCTGGATGCACAAAATGTATCGGATGAATGCAAGCTTTAAACAGCTTAATGTACACGCAAGTTAACCGCCATTCTGAACTAATGCGCTGCTGCATAGTAACGCACAAACAAAGCTTGCACATCACGTGCAGACCACACAGAAACATTCAGTAGTGTCACTGTTCTGTGATTTATCAATAAAATAGCTTAGAAACTGAAAAGTTCTAGCATATATTTCTTAGTACCTAAAACTCACAGCTTCACTTTTAGTAGAGAGCCAGGTAGAATTAATTCACATGCATTCGGCTCTCTCACCGATGCATTCATATACATGTAATTTTTACTGTGCTACTTTTATCTGTATCTGATTTAGAACGAGCAGAAATCTGGGAGAAATATAACGACCCCAAAACAAAAGAACTGATAGAAATAAGCTGAATACACATGTGAATAACACACGTGAATAACACACGTACATGAATTACCCATAGCAGATCTATACAGGGGAAGGTGGAGGGTTTTTGAAAGCGCTGAACTGCCACAGCAAATGATAACCAAGGATATGAAGGTTGAGCACGAGAGCTCATTGGGTACTGATACAGCAGGAACCAATCAGCTGTGCCATATAGAGAACCATGTGATTGCAAGCAGGTTGAGTTAAGGACCTATCAGCCAGTTACTGAAGCGCTCGTTAAGGCAGACATCTATTGTTGTTGTGGTCTAAATAGTGTGTTGTTCCATCCCTTACATTTCCTTTTCAACTGAAAAAACATGGCCTGCCAGTGTTACCACCCACCTAATAATTGCAAAACAATTCAAGACGTATGCGCAGTAAAAAAAAAAAAAAAGGGCTGGATGCACAGTATGCACATACTTATGCTGACTTGCATCACGTGCACTCTACGCATACCCTAGCGCACGCGTAAAAACCAAAGCATACTTTTAGCTTTAGTTGAAACCACAACCTTTGGGGATTACCTGACTAAAAGTGTCTCTGCTAAATTTAAAGGTGTACTGCGGAGGATGTTTGCCATTTTGTGTGTACCCTGATTCACTGCGTTAAACCTACAATAATGATTGATATTTTGAGTTGGATTTGGCAGGAAATTACAGATTTATGTCATTTGTCCTTGAATGCTTATATCATGCTTGTAAGTAAAGGTTATTATGGTGTGCCGTATGCTTCTTACTTGCGCAGTCAAGAAATGTTTCCTCTTGTAGGAGTTTCTCTTTAATGTCAGGGGGTCTTGGAGTAGAATGACAGACCAGTCATACGAAAAACCACAGATGTATTTTCAACCACAGATGGTGACAGAGAGGCCACAGTTCCATAATGCACCTTTAACTTTGTCAGTATAGCATAACAATCCCTACGCTACTTTCATAATACTGTAGTTTTTCAGTAACAACCTACTTTGTCCAACAACTGTCACTATAAAATTGTGATTTTTAATGTCTTGCGCCATAGCTTTACAGTGAACTTAAGTGAGGTTTTAGACGCTACATGCGGTCCTTTCTCTGGATAGTCTGTTGCAAAGTCTGATTCATTCTATTCAATTGGTTCGCACATGAAAATGAATCAATAACAACTATTTCGAGTCCCTGCAGAATTGACTAGCTTAGCTATAGGATCACTCATTGTTTTCACCCTGATTGCTAGAATTACCCTCTTAGCTTCAATGTCTTTAGCTATTAGCTTGTAGAATAGATACCTACTTTGTCAAAAGAGCAGTTTATTTAACTGTGGTTGAACTGTTTTAAATTATACTTAGCTTGCAGTTTTATAAGCTACATAATAGTATAATCAAGATAGTTTCCCAACACTGACAGAAACATGTTATACTGTAGTTATTATATTTATCACAGCAAACATACCTATTAAACATAGTTGCGGGGGCGGTTTTGCAGCGAATTTGAGAGTATGTCTTGTTTGTCTGTTAGCGTGGAGAATTCTTTTAGCTCTCAGTGTCTGCATACTCATTCTTCTCAAAAGCCCAATTCCCTTCGGTAATTAACAGGCACCAGAAAAAGGGTCCACTTTGGCCTCTACTCTTTCAGAGCGGTAAAGTGATGAAATGACTGTGCCATTAAGGACACAAAGCCTCTCCCTGCTCACCCCCGTCCCCCTCATCTGATAAAGGCCGGGGAAACCAGATCCAGTGTGTCTGAGAGCTGCTTTACCTGACTGCTGATCTCTGATTATAGGCCTTACATTGGAGACCTGGAAGGGGAGGATACTGCCTTGTGGCAGAAAAGGTGTGCATCAAGGTATCACTGATGCTGATTCATAAACGTATATTGTGCATGATCTGTTCAACATTTAGAGGGGTACTACTAGTATTCTGCAAAATCAGGTGTTGATACAGAATATATAGTGGTTCTCGACTTGCCTTGCTCAAGGACTTTTAAAGACTTTATATTGGGCATTAAGTGGAAACCCAATGCAATACCAATAGTGTTTAGAACTCGTCAACAAAAAATGTCCTTAAACTCAAATACTGAACCGATATATATATATATATATTAGGGCTGTCAGTTAAACGCGCTATTAACGGCGTTAACGCAAACCCATTTTAACGGCGTTCATTTTTTTTATCGCGCGATTAACGGTCTTTTTGGCCTAGCAAACTTTGTAGTTTTTTTCACATGCTTTTGCAACAGGACGCGGCATTCATTTCAATGGCTTGAGCCGCGCAAGGACGTTTTGTTGCTTCGTCGACCAAAGCGCAAGCGGATCTAGCTTCACCGTAAACAAAACAACAGGCACGCCGCACACACTTGTTTGGGCTTGCTAGCCGGCCAAATAGTTGGTTAACGTTACGTTTTGAGTGGATGACGAGCGTGAGACGCCGAAA